GGAATATTTGTGCTCGGGGTTGGGTTTTTTTTCTTCAGAAAAATTTCGACTTTTCAACTAGCCATTTTTGACGGATTTTTTAAATTTCATTCAAAAGGTATTGTTATCTTGAGCTCAAATTTGAAAAGATATTTCACCTGTGATCATTTTTCGTAAAGTTACTGGGATTATAGATTGCCATTTTGGCCAATTTGGGACTATTAACGCGCGATATATTTCGCGCTATTAACGCGTAAGCGGAGATTTATTCCGTCCTAGAAATCGTTCCAAATTGGTTCGGGGAAGCTTATTTGCCATAATTGATTTGTTACTAGGAGCAGAATCTATCATTTTGCACTTTATCTCAATTTTTTTAAAAATCATTTTTATTTTATTAAATTTAAAATTTTCATGTTATTACTGCTGCATAGACCTTTAAGGCAGTCGGAACATTCAGGGCTTCGCCCTGATACGAACAGTCTTGTTCAACTTTCTCCATGAGATAGCAATCCCGTCTCAGAATGAGAGTATATGTATTAAGAAGTTATGACTATAAGACTAAAACCATAAAACTATATGTATTCTACTCTATAGTCGTATGGTTAGTCTAACGTGCTACTAATTAATTTAAACGCTCCATTTTAAGACTTGAGTTATTTCGGACTTTGTTCTTCCAATAAGAAGCGGCGTTTTTTGTCTTCTGAGCGTTTTTTAGTTAATAGTAAAACAAGACTACTCGTATCAGGGCGAAGCCTTGAAAATTTGGACTGCCTTTTAAAGTCTATGGAGCCGTAATAACATACAAAAATTAAATGAAATAAAATAAAATTGATTTTTTTTTATTTTGAGATTTTTTTTTCTAAAACTCATCCCCCGCACGCCATATAAAGTTACGAAGTGATAGATTTCGCACCTTGTATGAAATCCATTATGGCAAATGAGCGTTTTTCAAGCAATTTAGAACGATTTCTAAGTCATATTAAATCTCGGCATACTTGTTAGTAGCGCGAAATATATCGCGCGTTAATTTTCCAAAATTGGCCAGAATGGCAACCTTTAAACCCCCATAACTTTTCGAAAATGATCACAGGTAAAATGTATTTTCAAATTTAAGCTCAAGACAACAATACCTTTTGAACAATGCAAAAAATACGTCGAAAAAGGCCAGTTAAAAAGTCGAAATTTGTCTGAAGAGAAAAACCCACCCCGAGCAAAATTATTCCGTTACTTTCGTCATAAAAGTCGAATCAATAATCAATAAAATTTCATTGGTTTGTCATTCGGACGAGTATCATGCGAATCGATTCTTCAGCTGTTTTTTAACAAGCTATGTTTTTGATTTCATGCAGTACAAGTAATAAAACAGAATCTTAGTTTGAAATTAGTCTCTCAGAAATATCGTGCTCATTTTTGCTATGTGTGGTATTGATCTTAAAAGAGAATGGATGACTTCAAGTGTTCCATATGCTGCTGTTAAATGTTTTTTTCCAGCGTTTTTCTCTCTTCTCATGGTTAGTGTAACGCACCAGTTTTACAAGTAACAAAACAGTCTCTCAGATTGAAGTTAGTTTGTCAAACAATAACGCGCTCTTTTTATTGCGTGTGGTATTGTCTGATTTAAAAAAATGGAAGACTTCGAGTGTTCCATATGCTGCGACACGCTCGATGATCCCAGGCTGCTTCCATGTGGACACATGTTCTGCGGGCCAGAAAGGGGGTGCATCTTGGCCCTGAACAGAAACGACTTGTCAGCTGATTGTCCGAATTGCAGAAAAACACATCATATTAACGTGAGCGAACTGCAACCGATCTATGTCCTGAAGAAATTTCTAGAAGGTCTGAAAATTGCGGACACGGGAGACAAACAAACTCGGAGTGTGAGCGCTGGTGCGAAGTCCTGTGTCCAACATAGCGACATGTCCCTTGTGTATTTCTGTGATACTTGTGATGTCAGCATCTGTGACCTTTGCTGGGGAAACGACCACAGCGAGCATAAAGTAGTGCTTACGAGAGTCAAGCAAAAGAAAGACTTACTGGGTGCTATGGAACGCGTGAACCTTGAATCATCCATATCTGTGTACGAGAAAGTGATTGCGGACAATCAGAAAAGAAGACAACTAATGGCAGAAGTTATGACTGAAATTGATGTCGTGAACGAGTTGCTCCGAACAAGGGCTAACAGTTTAACCGAACTGAATGAACTTTGGAAAGAGTATGTCGGACTTGATTCGAGTTCTTCGAAAGTGGCAGAATTAGGGGAGAAATTGCTGGAAGATTTGAAAGGTCACGAGAGAAACAATAATGACGAAGAAATCAAGAAGAGTATCAGCCAGATATCGAAGGAGAGCCAAAAGAAGTTCAAAACTTTTGCGAATCTGTGTGATCGAAATGAGAAAACTCTGAATGAGATGAAGCAACCAAATAAACAAGTGGGCGGCTTGAAAAGTGGAAAACCAGAAGTTTCAACTCTAGATGCGTTGACTCTGTGCTTAGGTTCAGATGCTGAAGTTGACTTTTTCAGCTTATTGACAGGTGCTCATTCTTCTGAATCGGCGGGTCCACTGAGACCTGGGACTAGGGAAAACAGACTTGCTGGACAAGATAAGGAATTCACTACGAAGAGAGACGGTGGAACAAATCAGTGTGATAGAGCAGACTCTTCTCCAGCTGCTAGGGTATGTGTTGAACACATAATACTCAGTCTGTCCCAATCTGTTTATGAAAAAGTTAATTTAAAATTAACTAACAGCTACACTCATTTTTGAACCAGTTCTTAACTAATATTTATAACCAATTACATTATTGATAGAACTATCCCTATAAAATATTACTAATTAACCAATCATATTCCATCACTAATACTGACAATTAATTGTAGTGCTGGAACTACTTGTAGTTTCAGCACCAGAACAGTTTCAATAAATCTTAGACTACAGTTGTTCTCCTTTTGGACAAGCTCCAAGAATAACTCGCAAATACCACTATACACTAGATCTATCGAGACTAGGAGATAAATCAGTAAGATTAAGATTGGTATCAGACTAAGAAGTTGCACGAATTTTTCCGGCCGAAAATAAGATAGCGTGACGAACAGACGGTGTACCTCGTCTGAAAATATTCTATGAGAAAGCCACCACTGGCTTAAACTCATCTGGTGCGACCAAAAACCTCGAACAAGACCTTAACTAATTTAGATTTATCAAAATAGAATTAGAAAAAGACCAAAATTGCAAAATGTTAGATGGAACAGACAGTGTAATAGATATGTCTCTACGTATCAATGAATCTACGCCAATATTTCAAACAATACACGAGAAATGCCAGGTTTTTAACGAAGAACAAGATCACGGCGTAAACATCGATTGAACGACGGACCAAGATAATACATGATAGTACGACGCAAACCGCAAAGAGTATATGTCTTCAGAATTCTATACGCAGTAAATTAAAATTTTTCTTTATTGACAAGAAAATTATGCTATTTAAAGAACAATCTGATTTCTCAAGAACAAATGAAGACGAAAGATACGATCTTGTAATTATACCACATAAACAAACAAAAAGATAAATAAAATAGAAAAGACAGAAACAGAAAAAGACAATAATATTGAAAACAACGACTGATAATAAATACACGAGTCGTTCCTTGCAAATACTGCAGTACTTTAATTTCCAAAGTTTTGTAAAAATAGATTTTATTGAAAACAAAAAATATGAAAACTAATTGGTAGGAATTTTTAACGTTATTTTAACAAATCTTTTAAAAGTTTCTTGCTTCTCAACAAATAATTTTTTCTTCATCACTGCTTCATCACCTAAAACAAAACCGAATTTATTCAAAAAACTAACATCATTTAAAACTATACTCCTTAAATAATTTTAAATCCATAAATTTTTTTTAAACTTAAATCTCTTATTAAAACTTTTCTTCTCACAGCTTATCCTTGCCCTCTCAAAATATATATTTACTTTTAAAAACAGACCATCAAAATTTTTCTTGGATCTTTAATTTCACTTAAATTAACTGATCATCAAGACTTTCCTTGGATCAATCAGAACATCTTGGTCCTCCCCACCTCATAATTTGAATTGTCTAACGACCTCAAACGTTTCACTATCCAACTCTTATAAAAAAACTGAGGACTAATAGAAATTGTTGGAAAACTAACCATTATAATTAAGATATACAGTGAAGACCTTCGGTTACTCATCTTTCACCTGAGCCTCTCCTCTTAGTTGACCCAGGCTAAAACCCTTAAAATTTTAGCAAGTACTAAAATAGTATCTAACGATCTACTTGTATTCTAATTCTACCTGAAACTTGTGGATTGATTTACTATTCTCAAACCCTTGATCACAAATCAAACCCCTATGTAAGAAAATTTTTTCTTAGAGTTGATATATTCTCTCTCCAACCCGTCTATGCCCCAAGTTAAGATAACCACACAAAAACCGTAAGAACTAACAGTTTATGAAATAGAAACTCTAACCTCCGAATTTTGCAACCATCATCCTAAACCTTATGTCAGAATTTAATTTAGACTGTAACAAACAATCAAGCTACCCAATTATTTAATTGAAGACAAAAGATACGATCTTCTAATTATACCACATAAACAAACAAGAAGATAAATAAAATAGAAAAGACAGACACAGAAAAAGACAATAATAGCAAAACAAAAACGAAGATTTGCAAAAACACGTAACGCAGTTTCGGAATTGGACACAACTACAGTACAAGAGCTTCAAGAGCCAAAAGATTCGATAAATAAGAGTACTCCAATATACCAACAGAAATGTTTTTTTTTAAACTCAGAAACAACACCACTATTATCAACTAAGGGTAAACGCAAAATTATAGAATCAGATATTAATAAACCGGTACAACTATATAATGGGAATCAGCCAAAAATACACATTGAAAGTTACACATTAACAGTTTTAGAATACAAAATAATATACAATACGACAAAAATTTCGACGATTACTCTATACAATTTACTCAGTACAATTTACTCAGTACAGTTTTGTCATAACTTAATTGAAAATTCATTCGAAAAAGGAAATAGTCCATGCACACAGGAATTTCCCGAAATAAGAATAAAAAGACAAATATTTGATTTCATAAAAAACATTGGTAAAATCACTTCATATTACGGAATATTCACTATTGTTATTTTACCAGCACAACCAAATCAAACACGGCATCAAATACAAACAGATGATGTATATCAAGAATTCTGAAAAATCTTCATAGAATACATAAAAAATATATGACATCCTAATTCACAAAGAGCAATTTCAATCTTCACAAACGATGTTTTCTCTTCTATTTATAGTTTTATATCTATATTAGAATTAAAAGACGCATCAAATGAATCGCCACCTCAGACATCTCGACACTCAACTGTAAGAAAAGAAATTGATCTTTTCTCAAAACTTCTAGAAACAATCCTTGAAAATATCACTAGGAACGAAACATCACAAAATGTAAAACATGACTTACAACGAATCCTATCATGGTCCATAATAGATTCTTTTGTAAACAATTCATAATTCATTCAATATCCAGAAAAAATTTTCGACCATAAACCTCAGACGATGAAACTGTATTAGCCAACCAAACAGGTTTTGTTTGGGACCCGAATGATCTCAACCATTATTTACTAAAACAACCACTGACATTTCATTTGCAGCAATCCCCACTATTTCATTACTCAAGGATTACGTAAGAATTTTTCAAATACTATTGATGCAACACCTTTAAACTATAACACAATGTTTATTGATAGAACAGGATTTAGATTAATTTCAAATTTATAAACACACAAGAAACGCTAAATGAAACAAAAAGTCTAACAAAACAAGATATTAAAACCCCATCACATTTTATTGACGAGTAAATAGTTGAAACAAGGCCTACAACAACAAAACAAAGCATCTTTTTAATCACCCTACACTTACAACTCCAGAATAACAAAATTACTCAATTCCCAAAGACTACCATTCAATCAACAATAAAACCACCTGTTGTCCCAAAATATTCGCAAATGGATTACCAAACATATAGACCAATATCTAAAACGCGACAATCAAACAAGCAAAAGCGTCCAAACAGAAAGAATTTTTCAAAACTTAATTAAGATTTTTTCGCTATTAACATTAAAAACAGCCAAAAACTAATTCCAACAACAGCAACATACAGTCAAAAAAGTTAACCCCAATCATCTACACGTATTTCATTTTAAGAAAATCTCTATAAGTTCAAAAAAAGACACGCACCATCCTTTGATAGCAGCAATTCGTCAAGCACCCCCAAGTGAACCACGATAAGAACCAACATATAACCTTTACCCCTTACTTCAGATTTTTGCTTATGATTATCGCCAAGTTATCCATCCTCGATGAAGTCGAGACTTTGCAATACCCAGAGTTCATTTTGGTATATATACCTTCATCACTCTCTTCGAGCCCTTTGGATCTTCTAGCAATACAATTCAATGTACTCCCCCATCACTACAAAAAATGTCTCAACAAAATACCCCAATTATCCTATCGGTCTATTTGGGATTAACACCAACTTCCAAACATAAACAAACTCATTAGCTGACACAAGCCATAAACAAACTCATTAGCTGACACAAGGAACCAAACTTAGAAAACGAATAAATAGTGATTTCATCCAATACCTCTTTATCCTTGCCAGAAACCCTATCACTACCATTAACCACTTCAGTAACAGGTCAAACTCAAAGCACTACGCTCTCCCTAAATTTCCTTACAAGTCTAGACGATCGACATCGATAACTTCTCAGCACAAATGTTCCCTTACAATTATACTGGAAAACGTTTGTTGCACCCCTTCCCCAAATTTGGCCAACATCTTGATAGTAATAGACTACAGAATTGGGCATTAAAGCGATTACAAAGAAGACACGACATTCACAAAGAATTACTAGAACATAATATACAAATCCTTACTCAAGATAACTTAACACTTAAATTTGAAAAAATAGTAAAATTAAAAAGTTTAAACCATCAACCACTGCATCTAGCCCCACCAAATATAACAGCTCAATCTTTTTTCCTCCATTCATCACAACAGATTTTGTCTAGAAATACGATAGATATTTTAAAAAGACTATATGATATATAACATTCTACAACTCATATTCAGCATTATCTTACACATGTAACTTTTAATAGTTATTTTTCATAAAACACTTTACCCCTTTGTACTCTTAGAAACCACATCTCATAAAAATCTTTCCCCCGAACAAGACTACAAGACCTCTTAGTTACTCATTATGGTTGTAAAGAAAATCAACAAAACATTTTGCATAATTACGAAATTAATCAAGTAACACAATGTGAACCCGAACCACAAAAGATAGAATCAACAATTTTAGTATCAACACTTTACTCGAAAGCACGAGCTACAACACTTATAGGATATACATTTACAGCAAAAATCTCAAAAAAGAAAGTACATTGCTCACAAGTCGCAAATGGAATTGAAAACAGACTCGATCATGAAGTCTTTTACCAAGCAATAAAGAAAGATTTTTGCATCTTAAACCTGTAGATTGCATAAAAGAATCGCAACGATTAAAAATAACCACAAATAAAGGCAAAAACTGCAAATTACTGAACTTTCAAGTTTTACCAGACTCCGCGCATCAGGCAGAGCTTGAAAGATACCAAGGTCATATCAAATTCGATGATAAATACCCGTACCACGGTGCACCCGGACGTTTTAATTGTA